TCCAGTATCATATTATTTCCTCTGCCATACAGTCACACACACACCAGGGATGGGGGGAGAAAGAGATAAACAGACACTGAGAGATACAGACAGAGATATTAAAAATAAATGTTAAATTCATTACATAGCCTGGATCTTCGTGCATTTCATGTGTTTTTGGCACTTCAGATATTAGCTGTGCTGGTTCTCAGAGGGTCTCAACTTGGATCTGGTGGTAGCCGTTCTTCACCTTGTGCATGAGTCCTTTTGACACGACCTCTCCATTAGATCTAGAACAAGCTGTTTGTTCTCATTCTGTTCTATTCTAAATGGCATTTAGAGACCACCGTGAAAGAGTAGATGTATACTTGTTATTTGTGTTGCTCAAAAACACTGGGTCTTTTCAGAGAATGCAAGTAAAGCTTTTAATATTATTTATTTATTTGGCTTTTTTTTTTTGAGACAGGGTTTCTCAGTTTAACAGCCTTGGCTGTACTACTGGAACTCACTCTGTAGACCAGGTTGGCCTTGAACTCACAGAGATCTGCCTGCCTCTGCCTCCAAAGTGCTGGGATTAAAGGTGTGCGCCACCATTGCTGTGCTGGTTTTGTTTTGGGGTTTTTGGGGAATATTTATTTATTTGGGGACTGAAGAGATGACTCAATGTGTAAAATGGAGGCCACATGAATGTGGTGGCTGAGTTTAAATTCCCAGCACCCATGTAATTCAGAGTGGGTGGGGCAACCTGTTTGTAATCCCAGCATCAGCAAGGCAGAGAGGCAGGAAATTCCTGAAGCAAGCTGGCTAACTAGCAGAATTGGCAAGCAACTGGTTCAGAGATCAACCCTGCCTCAATCTCTAAGGTGGAGAGCAGTAATTACATATCACAAAGATATGTAATGTTACCCTCTGGCCTCCACATGCACCCATACACACTTGTGCCCACACACATGCGAACATGCATATGTAACTCATGAGCAACACACACACACACACACACACACACACACACACACACACACACACACAGAGAGAGAGAATTCTTCTATTTATCGTTATTTGTTTTGAGTCAGCATCTTGCTTTGGAGTTCTGGTTTGATTACTTCTCACTATGTAGCCCAGGCTGGCCTCAGACTTGGGGCAGTCTGCCTGCTTATAGCACAAGCCACCGTGCCTGATCAATATTCTTTTTTAATTTTAAGAAGAAATAAGTTCAGACTGGCTTCCTACTAAAATGTATAGGTCTAGGGTTTTATGTAAGTTTTACCTAAATCGGGAGCATGGGCAGACGGAGGTCTTTGTGGTCACAGACACGCGCTAGAGGAACCTTGAATGTTAACCACACAGGGTGTCCCTCATGAGAAGGAACACAGAACATGGTATCTGCTCAGAAGGCTGGAGCAGACGTGCCTTCTAGCCGAATGACCTTTGTGCTGTCCACATGGCGAAAGGCTTTTCTGGCACTGGTCCTCCCTAGACCCTTATCGTGAATTTGTTTTTTCATCAGTCTATAGAATGTATCTTGGCTTCCATGGAATCACATCTGACCTGTATTTGGCTTAATTTGTTTCCCAAGGAGATTTATTGTGTATGTTTGGTTGTGTACACGGAACTGAGTTATCACCAGAGTAGTTTTCACCACACTATGCTGTGCTTAACTATACCTAAAACAAACAACGCTGGGTCAGACTCCTGAAGTTTGAACCAACACCGACTACTGAGTGGCGGTGAGCCAAACTGGCTTCTTGCCTCCCATGGCTTGGCTCGTCACTCTGTTGGCCATGAAGGCCACAGATACCCTGCCCACACACAGGCAGTTAGATTTTGGGTCTAAATGGCTTCCCCTCTGCCCTAAATCTCCTTTCTTAAGAACAGCATCATAACTCCTTATGTGCATTTTTCTTTAACTCATGTTATTGAAGACAGCTTAATTTACTGCACTGTTCTCGGAGCAAACCTCACCAGGGATGTGGAATGACGGGGGTAAAGTCTCCGGAGAGTTCCTCCGCACGTGTGCTGCCAGCACACAGGGACAGTCTGCTTTCACATTTTAGCAATTAGTTTTATGAAATGAAGTTGTTAGAAAAAAGCCAGATCCAAGTTTAAAAAAATCTGCAAGGATGAGTGATGGGTGAGAACGTTTAGACTGTGGAGAGTTACAGTGTTGCCCATCCAGAACATGATTCCCCCTGGAGTCCCTAATAGCTCCCCCTGTGTCTGACCTAACATTCTTGTGACTGTCATATGAAATATTTGGGAACATGTTAACAAACTCTTGGCTTCTGCCAACCCAAACCTAAGAATGTCATAAATAATGTCTGTAAAATTCATAGTGAAATTTTCCTTGCTTGACTATAACTCACCTACCTGATGTGCCCAGTAGTGTGCTTAGAAAATACCTTAATTAGCTGGATGTGGTAGCACACACCTTTAATCCCAGCACTTGGGAAGCAGAGGCAGGCAGATCTCTGTGAGTTCAAGGCCAGCCTGGTGAACACAAGTCTAGGGCAGCAAGAGCTACACAGTCTTGGGAAAAAAACCCCAAAACCAAAACAAACAAACAAAAAGGATGTGTTGACTTGCACAGTTCTCTTTTGCCCTGACTTTGCCGTTCTCTTTTTGCTGTTTTGTTACTATAATGTCTGTTTTGTTAATATAACATGTCATTATAACATGGCCTCCTGTTAGAGAATGCTATTTTGGGAAAGCTGAATCCATTTCTCAGCCATTGGGCACTCTGGTGACTCAGAGTAGATCATCTCTTCCTCCTTTTGAGGTGGCAGTTGTGTTTGGTGTCCTCAGTTTGTCTTTTCATTGTCGTTCTCTCGGTGCTGGAGATGAACTCAGGGCTTTGACCATGCTAAGACACCCACTACCACTGAGCTGCTCCTCCCGCCTGAGATTGCTCTCAGGTTTTAATACAGGGCCAGCAAGAAGCCTCAGTGGGTAAAAGTGTTTGCTGCTAAGCCTGATGGTCTGAATTTGATCCCCAGGACACACACGTAGGAGAAACTCACTCTTGAAAGTTGTCTTCTGACAGCCACATGCATGCTGTGGCAAGGTGCCCATACACATATACACATGCAAGATAAATAAATGCAAGTTTTAACTTACTGTTATTAATTTGAAAAAAAGATCTATTCATTTTATTTTATGTGTGTGAGTGCTTTGCCTGCAGGTATGTATGTGTACCATGTACGTGCTTGGTGCCCAAGGACGACAGAAGGCAGCATTGGATCCCTGGGCGCTGGAGTTATGGGTGGTTCATGTGGGTGCTGGGAATTGAACCCAGGTCCTCTGCAAAAGCAACAAGTGCTTTTAACCACTGAGCTATTTCTCCAACCCTTAATATATTTTTATTTATTTATATTTTGTTTTTTTTTTTTTTCCAAGACAAGGTTTCCCAGTAGCTATCGAACCTGTCCTGGAACTCACTCTGTAGACCAGAGCAGCCTCAAAAATCACAGAAGTCTGTATGCTTCTGCCTTCTGAGAGGTGGTGTTAAAGATGTGTGCCACCACTGCCCAGCTAATATAAAATTGCCTAATTTTATAATTATGTAAAATAAATAGAGTCATGCCACATATAAAAATAAGGCCTATTTATTGTATTCTAATGTCTCTCTCCTCTATTTAAACCACCCTCGTTTATGAGGATGTTTCTACATTTCAAAATTGCCTTTGTCTTCTTTCTTCCCTGTTTCTGAGTGCATCTCTCTCGCTCTTCTCTGTCAGATTTTTTCCCTTTCACAGGGTGCCCCGGGGACCACTTTGAAGAGCTCTTCCTTGTTCCCTCCACGGCCACAGAGCGGTCTGTTGTGTGATGTGCTGGTTGTATCCTCTCTCATCCTGGACATTTGGCTTCTTGACTGTCAGAGAGCTTCAGTAAATAATCTTGTCCCAGGACTTTCTGTTTTGTTTGCAGTGGATCTTTAGGATGAGTTCCTGGAAGTGGGGTGTGGGTCAGAGGGCAAACACAGGTTGTTTTTGCTAAGCATTGCCAAGTTCCTTTCTGTAGAAATGGCACCATCCTCATTCCCACCAGCCATGTGTGACCATGTTGGCTTTTTCATAACCAAAACAAGAAAGCGTTTTATGGAATCTTTGTGTTTTGGCCAATCTGATCAGTGAGAAATAGTTCCCCAGGACAATTAGCATTTCCTTTACTGTAAGCAAGGTTAACTGTCTTTTTGCACAGTTTTAAAGCATTTGCCATTTTCTTTTAACTATTGGTATCTTTACTGTATTTTCCAACCAGGTCACTAAGCTTTTAATCTATATTAGAAGCCCTTTGTATACTAATAATATCAATATATATTATACTGAATGTATAAATTTTGTCAACAATATAAATCAAACTTTTAGGCAGTTATTTGTTGTTTTAATTTTGCTCATTTATTTATATACATTTTCAAGACTTATTTTTATTTTTATTTGTGTGTATGTGTGTCTGAGTGTGTGCCACATGTGTGTGAGTGTAAGTGTACTTGGCAACCAGAAGAGGGCGTCAGGTTCCCTGGAGCTGGAATTATGAGTGGTTGTGAGCCAGCAGATGTGGGTCCTGGGAAGCAAACTTCTATCCTCTAGAAGCAGTCCTAACCACAGCCGCCTGTCTAGCCCCTATTGATAGAAACTTTATTTTATTACTCGATTACTTGTTTTTGGTCATACAGAATCCAATTTCTTATGCATCTTTCTCATGATGGCTTCTGGATGTTTTATGAGAACTGGGAAAGTTTGTCCTACTCCTAAATTATAGGAGACTTTATCTGGATTATTTTTACAATGTTATAGTTTTACTTTTGGGGACAGATTCTCATGATTCCCAGGCTGCCCTCCTGCAACTCACTGTGCACCTGAGAATGACCTTGAAGTCCCGACCCTATCTCTGCCCTCTGAGTGCTAGAGTCACAAGTGGGTGCCACATGCCTGGTTTTTGTGGTTCTGGGGATCCAGTCCAGGACTTCGTACATGATAGACAAGCACTCTGGCCACTGAGCCGCATCTCCGGCCCCAGTTTCATGTTTACATCTGAATCACCAGTCCCTTCCGGAGGCCTTTTAGTCAGCAGCATGAAGAAGGGAGGTGTCTAGGTTCTGAGTCCACGTGGCCTCCTTTTAGCCCAGTGTCACCCATTCTTCCCTGTGGCTTAGGGTGCTGCCTTCTTCCTCTTCTCTGCCGGCAGTAGGGCTGCTCTCTAGAGTTCATACTCTGTTCCCCAGAGGAGTGAACTCCTGTCCTTCGTTCTGCCTAGGCCCTCCCTAAGGTAAGCACAGCCTATGCAGGACAACACAGCACCAGGCCGAGCATCTGTAGGGCAGGAAGAGGGTGGGTTTGGCTTTTGGGCAAGGGAAGGCTTTACCTGTCAACAGTTCTTTGTTCCAGGTCTGGAGATGAAGCTTTGGAGACAGATGGTCTTGAGGAGAGGACCGTGTCTAGTGAGACTGGGTCTCTGTGGTCTGATCTGGCCTAGTAGTTGATGTGTAGCCAAAGCTGGCCTTGAATTCTTGTCAATCCTCCTGACTTAACCCCTCAAATGCTGGGATTCAAAGTGCCCTCCCACCTTAGGAAACCTTGATTGTCCAAATCCATACTAATACCACACTTAGCACAGAGAATTTCTGATAACTCACCTGCAGACTACAAGATGCCATGGAGGAGGACTGGGTGGAGGAGACCCCTGTTCCATTCCTGAGAAGAGATGGCTGGGAACAAACATTAAAAGTTTTACAGTGACTAAGGGTCACCCTTGAAGGACCATTACTCCCTAAGAGCACAGGACCCGCATCTGTCCAGCTGCCTACCCACCCGTTCATAAATACATCCTTAGCACATGATCCGGTCCATCGAAAGCACAGAGCTCGTGTTTTGTGGAGAGGAAAACCAAGACACCGCCCAACCCTTCACCTGGCATGTGTGGTGAGGAACGAGAACCCAAGCTCTGTGCTCTGGGAACTGGAAGCATTGCACAGATGCATCATGAACAGAGGCCTGAGCCTCGCCTTCTGAGTCAGACTCAGTACATCTGTGACTCAGAGGCCTCGCTCCTCAGCAATGCTGGCTAGGAATGTGTTGGGAGCTATAAATCCCTGACCCCTTGATTTTCTTTGCCTGCCTCAGACCCTTTGCCTGCTGGAGTGAACTGAGCAAAACAACTTGTTTTCCTCTTCCCTGAGCAGCCTGCAGCTGCTCTGAGCACGAGGCCTTGATGGCAGGCTGGTGGGTCTGCAGCTGTATCCTGAGTGCTGGGGCGTGGCCAGAGCCCTATGTAAGCTTCCCCTGAGCACACTAAACTTGGCACTGTTGTATCAAGAGTGGCCATGTCTCTGCCTCTCTCTGTGTGTCTCTGTGTTTTGGGTCAGCCCAGTTCCCGGCTCATGTCTCGACCTGTAGCGGCACAGGAACTACAGGCATAGTACAGGCATAGTATCATACAGCACATAGTACAGACGCCGGGTTCTAAAAGAAATGAATGTAAGTTCTAGGACAAGGAGGGGCCTGAGGAGCTGACTGCCAGAGATAATCTTCAATTATATATTGAATTGTCATTTCTTAAATAAACAATACTGAGCGTGGTAGTACCTAATACCCCTGAGGTCAAGGGATAAGGATGCCAAGTTTGAAGCAAGTAGAGGCTACATTGAAAGACTGTCTCAAAAACCAGGGCTGACAAGTAGCTCAGTGGGCAAACTTACTCACTGTGTAAATCTGATAATCTGAGTTGGAGCCCCTGGGTCCCCAGGCCCATGTGGTGGAATGATTCCTTCAAGTTGTCAAAAACTTTGTGGAAGTCTTACAACTTAGGATGCTAAGGTGGATTTGTTGGAGTGGTTTTTGATGGATTGGCATTGAACCAATCAATTTTTAATAAGCCAGTCTTCCTGCAGCAAGGATTGTGCACATGGAAGGCAGGCTTTGGGAGGATAACAGGTTTTAATTCTTTCCTGTAATGGGAGACCTTAAAGGTCTAGAGCAGGGCAGGCCCAGGAAGCAGAGAACTTTCTCAGTCCTCTCTCCATCTGTGTGACGTAATTCCTATTCTTTCCACCTCCATACGTCACTGTGAGGCTGAGGTATGTGACGTATACCATGTGTTCTCTAAGTATTATTATTGTTCATTGGACTACACTTTGGATATTTATTTTATGTGCATATTTTGCCTGCATGTATGTATACGCATCATGTGTGTGCTCATTGCTCTAGATTTTGTAGCCACTGCTTTACGGCCAAAGGAGCATTCGTAGCTCAGCAGCTCTAATACGGGTGCCTTCCTTAGCTCTTCATTTCACAGAATCAAATACAGCTTAAGAGTTAAAGTGCAGCACAGGCTGGTGATCCAGGGCTGTACTTCCACTCCTTAGGAGGCTGAGAAAAGAAGATCCAAGTTCAAGATCTGCCTGGAAGACAGGGTTTGAAGCCAGCCTAGGCAAATCAGTGAGACCCTGGCTCAAATAAAAAGTAAAAAGCAGGGCTGGAGCTGGAACCCTGTGGAAGAGCACTTGTCTCACATGCATGAGGTTCAGTTCCTAGTACTGGGAGAAAAAAAGAGGTAACATGGCCCTAGAAATTGTGGTGGGTGCTGAGGAGATGGCTGTCTGCAATGCACTTGCCTTGCAAGCATCAAGTACCAAGTTTGAGCCTCAGAAGCCACATGAAAAAGCTGGACATGGTTGTTGTGGACTATTATTTTAACTAGGCAAAGATGTGTTACATTTGTTTATACTGCACAATATTACTTTTACTGTGTAAAGTGTGTTACTTTTGTTTATGCTGTGTTTGTTTAATTATGAAAAGATGTGTGGCATTTGTTTCACCTTGATTGCCTAAGGAACCTGATTGGTCTAATAAAAAGTGAATGGCCAATAGCTAGGCAGGAGAAAGGATATGTGAGAGAGGATAAATAGGGGGAGAAATTTATGCTCGAAAGGAAGAGGGAAGAAGAACTAGAGAAGGAGGAAAGAATGAGGGACATGCCAAGCGCGAGAAGCCAGGCAGACACCAGCCAGTCAGACATAGAAAAGCAATGAAAGTAAGATATACAGTAAGAAAGGTAATAAAACAACAAAAATCTAAAAGCCAGATGTTGGTGGTGGTACACGCCTTTAATCCCGGCACTTGGGAGGCAGAGGCAAGTGGATCTCTGAGTTCAAGGACAGCCTGGTCTACAAAAGCTAGTTCCAGAACAGGCTCCAAAGCTACAGAGGAAACCCTGTCTCAAAAACCAAAACAAAATAAACAAAACAAAAACAAAAAAAGAAAGAAAGAAAAAAAGAAAGGCAATAAGTCCTAAGGCAAAAGGTAGATAAAGAGAAACAGGTTAATTTAAGTTAAAAGAGCCAGAAATGTGCCTGAGCTAGGTCGAGCTGTTGGGGTCCAAAGCCCCCCAACACAAGCATTCAAAATAATAAGTTTCCGTCATGATTTGGGAACTGGTTGGTGGCCCAAATAAAAAAGCCTGGTACATGTGGTGGTGGGCACATGTGATCCCAGGGCTGGAGATAGACATAAGCCAACTCCATGGACTCTGGTAAACTAGGCCAGCCTAGTTAGTGAGCTCCAAGCCTGCCAGAGACTGAAAAAACCAGACGAATGTGCCTGGGGAAAGGGGAGACTGGAGAAAAAATGGTTTGGCAGGCAAGAACACTTGCTATTCTTACAGAGAACTGGGGTTTGCTTCCCAGCACCAACATGGAGGCTCAGAGGTCTCCCATAACTCCAGTTACAGGGGACCCAATGCCCTCTTCTGGCCTTCCCTCAAGCCCCACCCCCATACATACACATGTAAAATACAATAATAAAATAAATCTGGAAAAATAACCAAGAACAAGGATGGATGGCACCTGAGGGATGACACCCCAGGCTGTCCTCTGGCTTCTAGATGCATGCGCACACAGAGGAAATCCATGGCTTCAGCAGCTCTCAGGGCTGGCTGCCATCATCTCTGCTCTGGGAGCGTGTCTTGTCTCTTACTGTGCATGAACCCAGGTTGTCTGGGTCTCACCTGGGTCCAGGATGAGGAGGCTGGACCTGTCAGCACTCCCCTGGACCATTCTCTCACTGCCCTGGAGTGAGGAAGATGTGGCTTGGCAGGGGAAGGAGAGCTGCAAGGAAGGAGATGGCCCTGCCTTCTGTCAGTCTTGCTCTTCCTGTAACTTCTGACAGGCTGAATCTGAGGCCCTCCATCGCTGCTCCTTAGCACCTTCACTAACGAGGAAGTGACACTTCCTGTAGACTGTGTCAGGCAGTTGGAGCCCCCAGCAGAGGTGTTTCTGGGACAAGATCCACACCTGCCATTCTCCTTGGTCTAACACCCAAAACTTCCAGCTTCCAGCCATTGGCCAATCCGTTTCACATAGGGTGGGGTCACAATGGTTAGTAACAGGGACACGAGTGGGACAATGTTAGTGATTCTAACCTTGTCTCCTGCCTTGGTGACTGTTCCCCTCCTCAGAGGTGCCTTTGCCTCTGCTGCCCCTGTACCTCAACTCTGTAGTTCCTAGGCTACATCCTCTTTTTCCAGCTTCCTCTCCTACATAGTGGGTGGACTGCATCTCTGTATGTTCTGGGAAGCCAAAAACTCTCCCTGTGGGTCCCTAACAGGAAGCTGGGTACCCATAAGGTGACTCAGAGTGGATACAATGAACTCAGGTGACACCAAGCTTAGGAAGCCACTTTTCAAAGCCTGTGGAAGATACCAGGGCTGAGATTAGAATTTAGGGCACCACTGAAAACCTCTGTATTGTCAAGTTCCACATGTTCCAAGTTCCAGTTGTGCTGGGCATGATGGCGCTCACCTTTAATCCAGAGGCAGGCAGAATTCTGTTAAGTTCCAGACCAAACCTGGTCTACATAGTGAATTCCAGAGCAGCCAGAGCTACATAGAGAGACACTGTCTCAAAACAAAACAAAACAACAACAACAACAAAAAACCGACAAACAACTAAACCAAACAAAATAGCCCCTCAAAATAATTACAATTAGACACATACATTCTTTTATTTATTTTGTTATTTTGAGACAATTTCTTTCTGTGGAGCCTTGGTTGGCCTAGAACTCTCTCTGTAGAAGATGTTAGCCTTGAACTCAGGAATCCACCTGCCTCTGCCTCCCAAGTGCTAGAATTAAAGGCGTGGAGCACCATGCCCAGCTAAGCACATTAATTCTAACTCACTTGATTTTGAAGATAGAAAGCCAGGGAAAATTATGGGCTGTAGGAAAGCGAAGGAATCCACCCCAGAGTCTGATTGACACCTCTCAACAGCTGAGAAGCAGGAATTCCAAAACAGCGTCAGCTGTGAAAGTTTTGGGCACAAAGATACACCTCATTCATACACAGATTTCTTATTTTAAGGTAGCAATGAACTAAGCTTAAGGCCTCTCAGCCAGGGCCTCACTCTTTCCCCCAGACATATTCTAAGAGTCTCCAAAAAGCTAATTAACTTCGTTTACATTGAAGAGATCCTGTTTTCCTGTATCCCAGTGACCTAGAGTGTTACCTTATCAGTTGGAATCCTGTCCGTACCTTGTGGTTTCATTTAGTTTTCTTAAAACTCGAGATTTAGAACCCACCAAATGCTAGCTACACATGGCTGCTGAAAAGACTGTGAAGCTGTGTCTCTTAGAGAAACCACACCCATGATCTGTGCTGTGTCTTCTCTAGGTCTTCTCTCCTCTTAACACTGTGGTTGAAAACATTTATTTTTTAAAAAAAATCTTTTTTCTGGGCAGTGGTGGCACATGCCTTTAATCCCAGCACTCAGATCTGAGTTCCAGGACAGCCAGAGCTAAACAGAGGAAACCCTGTGTGTGTGGGGGGGTGGGGGGGGTGAGGGGGAGGTCTCTTTTATTAAACCCTCACTCTGCTTCTACTGGCTTGTCTTGAAATTCTTTTCTTCCACGAGGCAAGAATATTGAGTTTGTTGGAGTGGAGTTCTATGCGAAGAGTTCCTGGTGTTGATGCAGGTGACAGACCCGCAGGGGACCGAGGTCAAGGGAGTGAGATTTCCAGAGGAAGTGAAACTTTGACTTCCTCACCAGCAGGGACACAGATCAGCTGGCTGGGGCCCACACCGGTGTCTTAGCCCTGGAGCTCACTAGCTCAAGTTCTCCAACCTCAGGAAGATTGAGGGGTTCACAGAATCGCCACTTAGGTGCCCCAGACGAGGGTCCTGCTCCCTCCGTCATCTCTCCCACAAACAGCTAGGAGTCATTCCCAGTGACCCAGGAACGGGAAGGACAGAAGGCAGGGGGAAAGGTGCATTGCGGGGTGGGGTTGGGTGGGGGAGGCAAAAAGAAACAGGCAAAAAATATTTTC